TTTTTTTTTAAGTTAAATGTATTGGGGTGACATTGGTTAATGGGATCATGTAAGTTTCAGGTGTAGATTTCTATCCTATCAGATCTGTGCATAGCACTGTGTGCCCACCACCCAAAGTCAAATCTTCTTCCATTACCATATGTTAGGCCCCCTTCACCCCACCATGGATTCTTATTTAATTCTTTCATATTCCTTTTGTTGACAAGATAAACAGTGTCCGTCTTAAAGGTGTTGCAACATGGGAAAACCCTGGGATTGGTGGGGGACATCGAGGTTCGAAGTTGAGCAGAACAAATGGGGCTGCTCTACATGTGGGAGACCTTTCGCTTCCTCCTCCTCCATCTGTTCTTGCTTCCCTCATTCAAACTTGCTTTGCGCATTACTTTTGTCAGCTCCTGACCTCGGTCCTGGTGAAAGAACAGTGAAAAAACCAGTCAAGGTTCCTGCTCTCAAAACCTTGTATTATAACTGTGGGGAGAAAACAAGACGCAACAGATAAGCAGGGAGGTAAGAAACTGGGGAATGATGACGTGCTGTGCGGTAATTGAAGAGGCTGACTTATCGGAGAACAGCTGGGTGGCTGCTCCAGATTGGGTGGTCAGGGAAGGTGGTGGCGTTAAGCTGAGAGATGAAAGCAAGGAGGAGGCAGCCATTCATAGCAGAACATTCCAGGGAGTAGAACATTCCAGGCAAAGGGACAACTTGTGTTTAAATGTGTCCAGGGGCGTGGAGGAAACCATCAAGAACTTCCAAATACAGCAAGCCTGGCCCAGCCAAGTCACTGATAAAGAGAGGGACACGGGCTGCTGCTTCCTTCTCTTCTGTCTCTTAAACACATCAGCTCTCACTCCTGCACGTGCAGGGCAAGGACATTTCCCTGATTGCACACAAAGAATCACTAGTGTGTGTACTCTTGTTTATTATTAGATGTAGTTTTACTTTGTCAGTCCAGGGCTGGACTGAGGTGATACGTAAAATCCCTAATACCTTAGTTTAGAGGAATTTTAAAAAGCAGGGGTTTTGTTTCCTATTCACACACCAAGCCCTAAGTGAACCATCAGGCATGCTTTGTAGAGTGGGAGGCAAGCAGACTTACTTGGCGCACTCCGGACAGGAAAACAATGTAACAAATAGTTTATAAGTGAGGTGTATGTTTGTTCCTTTATATTTTTCTTTGATAAGAAATCTGAGTTAGGTACCTGTTGCTTCTCTTCTCTGTACTGTGCTAGAAGAGACCGTCAGTCACATAAAGAACTCTTCCAGCTCAGGGGTGTGGCTCAGTGGTTGAGCATCGACCCATTAACCAAGAGGTCACCGGTTCAATTCCTGGTCAGGGCGCATGCCCAGGTTATGGATCCAATCGCCAGTGGGGGGCATGCAGGAGGTGGCCAATCGATGTTCTCTCTCACTGATGTGTTTTTTTCTCTCTCTCTCTCCCTCTCCCTTCCTCTCTCTCTAAAATCAATAAAGAAAAAATATTTTTCTTAAAGAACTCTTCCGTATGCAGTTTTCCCCGTGTCCTATCTAAGTGCACTTCTGGTCCCACAGCAAGCGGTAGGCTTTCCACAAACCCACCGCACAGGGCACTGGCACTTGTCAAATGGCCCACGAGTCATGTTTAACTGACACTCGAGGGACAGTGTCAGGGAAAAGACACCTGGAGATGCACTAACTGGAGCAGATGCTTCCATGTCACTGAGCTGGGAACACCCTCAGGACAGGTACGTCAGACCCAGCTGGAGTCTGGGAGGGTCACCAGGGTAGGTGAGGCTTCTGCTGGATAATGAGGTCAGGGCTGGGCCTTGTTAGAGAAAAGAATTCATGACATTACTATCTTTCCATCTCAGTCGTCTTTTTTTTTTTTTTTCTTCCCATGATTAGTATTGGAGCTATTGGAGAGAAAAAACTCAAATAGATTATATTTCTGAAAATGATCTTTTTTTTTAAATAGAAACCTGACAAATCAAACACCATTTTCAGGTTAACTTATTGCGAGAGTAATTATTTTAATTTCTATTATTTGCCCCCTCATAACTGTTTTCTATTTGTTTGATTACAAATGATTCAGATGAATAAAATGTCATAAACTCCTAAGATATAAACCTCTCCATTTATGAAGGAAAATAAAATCATAGGCTAATGAGAAAAGATTAGAGCAATCATAGTTTTTCACTGCTAACTATCAGAGGCAAAATCTCATTCCCCCCCAATGTATGAAAAGAAATAAAAAGACACGTGAAAAAATTTTACTTGGCAGTTACCTGTAGTCATTAATTACCAAAAACTCAGATGCCACTTTAAGTGATTGGCAGATGTCACTAAACAACATTCCTCTATCAATGGATACACCTTTTTAAAATTTTTAATCCTCATCCAAGGATACTTTTCAATTTATCTTCAGATAGAGTGGCAGGGAGGGAGGAAGGGAGAGAGAGAGGGAGGGAGGCAGGGAGGGAGGGAGGGGGAGGGGGAGAAAGAGAGAGAGAGAGAGAGAGAGAGAGAGAGAGAGAGAGACATCGATGTGAGAGAGACACACCAACTGGCTGCCTCCTGCAGGACCCCGACCAGGGCCAGGGATGAACTGCAACCAAACTACGTGCCCTTGACTGGAATTGAACCTGCAACTTACTGGTCCATTGGGCTGATGCTCTAACCGCTGAGCCAAACTGGCCAGGACTCAATAGATACAATTTTTAAAACCATGAGCAAATCTTTTCAGAGAAGACCTTGATAATAGAGAAAGGAGCGGAAGACCTCAGACCAAAGCAATCAAGTCAGCTACCCCAAGGGGTGGCTTGGAAGAGGAGAAGCAGCGAGAGTGTTAACCTTTTCTTTAATTACTTCGGTATTGTTTCAATTGTCCCATCAAGATGCATTTACTTTGTAATGAAAACAAAAGCCAATACAGTATTACACTTCATAAGAAAATTTAAAAAGTAGTATATATTTTAAAGTGTCATTACGCAGGATTTTCTACCTAGTAAATGCCAGACATAAAACATGAAAATTGCTAAGTGATACTCTAGGGATATACATAAACCTTTAAAGAATGGAGAAAAGAAAGTGGTAAAACCGGCACAAGTAAATGCTGTTTCTACCAGGTTTTGTGTTTAGGTGCTTGCCTCTCCCTAAATTCCATCACGAAGGGAAGAGTAAGTAACCCCTTTATACGCACCTTAAACTCGGACATCTGCTTTTCCTGTATCTTATTTTATATTGAAATGATGACTAATAAGCAAATCATGATGTCACTCTACAAACTTGTGCTTCAGCCTCAACTCCTCCTCTGAATAACCACAGCATTGTTTTGTCTGTTTCGCAGACATGCCCCCCGCCCCCATCACGCACGCTAACCTCGCCATAAAGCTGAGCTAAGAGCTGAGGAGTTGTTGAAACTCCTGAGATAAGGGCTGAAATGCCTGTTAACAGCTCCTGGATTGCTCTCCTGTGATTTACATCTAATTTATGACAGCCATTACGGTGGATACAGGTCACTTCATCAAGAGCTCAGTCAAGTCCTGGTCATTAAACAACATTCACCCTTCTTCCCCAGGAGAGCAGGTCCCTGATTTCATTAAAAGCCCTGCAAATACATATTCAACATGCAAAGATATCAGGCATCCGCCGTGGCAATTAATTTTATGGGCTGAACCTACAAGAGTGTAAATCTCTTCTAAAGCTGGCACTTTGGACCTCATTTGACCCGTTCAGCGTCTGTCTCAGTGGAGTCAGAGCATAGGTATTAGATGCTCACCTGGCATCTTGCACACGGCTGTATCCAAACCTAGTAGCCGCTCTGCCTCAAAACCGAACCTGGACAGCGTACAGAACTAAGTGTAGAGCCGTCATAGATAGTTTTTTGAAACTGCAACACAAGACTGTCTAGAAGTTTATTTTTATAAACTTTATAAACCCATGTGTTAGCTTAAGGTGTTCATTTGGCTGATGTAGTTCATTAGTCGAATGACGTTCATGAAATCACTTGGTAAGTAGTAAAGTGACGCACGAATATATAAGCGATCCTAACAAACGAGCTGCTGACAGAGGAAAGAGTCAACTGTTCGGTACCAGAGAAACAAATGACTCCTATCCCAAAGTCATCCTTCCTGCCGCAAATCAAACACATCAGACATCATGGGGAAAGCAAAGGGGCTTTCCTAGACCCCAGCGCACTCGTTCTCAAGGAAACGCGACCTCGTAGAGTATGTATACATGTCATACGACTCTGACATTTCCACTGACCTCCATCAGGGCAGTAATTCAAGGTCTGTTATGCTACGATAGAACCTTTTTGAGTTAATTGATTTCTGCCTCTCTCTGACACTGTAATGGCTCCATTCATAACAACTCTCTGCTGCACAGTGCCAATGGAAACAGCTCAGGCAAGGTTTATCATCCTAAGAAAATAGTGGGAATCAAATATGAGGCGGGTATTCATGGAAATAGGCAGCTCCATGGAATTCCAAAGCCAAGAGGGTCATGTTGTGAAGGGCGCGCGTCTTCCTGACCAGCCTGGTTACCTCTGGTTTCTTCCCCTCCCCAGGTTCTGGCCAATGAATTCCCATCCTCAGCTCTCGGTCTTCCCGTGCTTCTCTAGATCAGATTTCCTGACCGATTCCTACATTGAAAACATTTGGAAATGCTTTCACTCGAGAGCTCCGAGCGGGCCCCCTTGCCCATCACTTCTGGGGAGCGGCTGTACCCTCGCTGACGCCACACCGAGCACAGATATTTTCACAGCTGAAACCAGTTATAGCTTTTAGCAAACGGCAGAGGTAACCAAGTTTCTCATTTACCTTCTTTTATTTTGAGGTAGCTTTCATATTTTTAAAGGTCCCCCCCACCCCAGTCGACGGCAAAGTCACACCGGCCAGGGACAGCTTGCTTGCAGAAGGGGCAGTGTGCCACCCAGCTGAGTCCAGGCACAAAGCTCTCACTGACCAGAGGGTCAACCTAGCCGGGGTATGGAAAGTATTGTAGAACCATGCAGAAATACTCACAGTTTCGGTTTGGCAAGCAGAGGCGGAGGCTCCTTGGTGGGTGAAAGCAAGACAGCTGGTGCTGGAGGAGATTTACTGCCGTTAGCTTTGCCGTTAATCAGCCCGTTTACTCCGTGGCTGGGGTGCACCCCGTTCGTCTCCCTCTCAGCGGAACTGAACTGCACTGGAAGGGCTGCCATGCCACGTCCTAGCTCTGGGCTCTTCACCTGCTGGATCTCAGCTGATTTCTTTGAAGCCAACTCACAGGGACTTGTCTCCAGGATCGGAGGGGGAGGTGGGAAGTGCTGGAAGTGATCATTGTTGGATTCACCCATGGAGTCGTAGCTACAGTTTTCGGTGTTGGCTGAAAGGGGAAGGGGAAAGAGAGAGAAAAAAGAATCAGATGCTACCAATTCAACAGCCGTTTTCGCACTGTCCCGGATCGCCCACCTTGTACCCTGTAGTTACAGAAGAGGTTGTCACATCTGACGCAGGAGCAGAGCCAGCTGGAGGGCTCGGTTCTTCCAAGCGTGTTTGGGTGACTGCTACGTGTTTCATTTCCTGAATGGGCCCACAAGTGGGGAAACCAGCTACCTATTCATTAACAAACTTCAAGCTCGAGCTAAAGATAGAACCTAGTTTAAAAATGACAACACAAGCAGCATCAGCTCATAATGCTTTGTCCTCTCACGTTTCAGCCACGATCCGACTGGACATCCTATCTGAGCTCTACTGATAGTAGCTCATGCCCTAAAGGATTTATGGGATAAGCAATATTCATTCTATTTAAAGCTAAGTGAAGCTTTGAGTCTAAGGGAGATGTCTTATGATCTCATAGAATATTTTTCCTAATTCAGATGATTGTCACAGCTGTAACTCAGCACAACTTTTTATTTTTTCTTTCTCTGAATAAAATGAATGCATCCTGAGGTAAGATCATGTCTTCTTTGGATTCCTCACTTTGCCCAGAGCCCAGCAGAGCTCCTGGAATGTACTCAATGTACTGAGTTGAACGGATAGCTTAAAAGTATTTGTTTATTATGTTTGGCGCGTAGATTTACCCCAGGAAAAAAAAATGCCAATTTCTTGTCTTGAGGACAGTCCTCAAGCCGACTCAGAAGAGAAGTCCTGGGCCCCTCCCCACTCTGCACCTCCATTATGCACATTTACATCTTTCATGCAATCAACTGTTTTCCAGTAAGGTGAACCTTTACATTTCTTTCTTTTCTTTCTTTTTACCTCTCTCCCTCTTGGATGCTTTACTGCATCTTTTAAATTTTTATTTATTGATTTTAGAGAGAGAGAGAGAGAGAGCAAGAGGAAGGGAGAGAGAGAAACATCGGTTTGTTGTTCCACTAATTATTGTATTCACTGGTTGCTTCTTGTATATGCCCTGACTGGGGTTCAAACCCACAACCCTGGCATATCAGGGTGACACTCCAACCAACTGAGGTACCACCCGTCCAGGGCATCAAGTGCCTTTATTTTAAAGATGATGCTCAACTGTAATGGACAGACTTGGGTGCCAAAACTCAGGGCAGAAGAGGAATTTCAGGCACTTTAGGGAAGTGGTCTGGAGGCACATCAGCTCTGCTGAGCATCCAGTTTTTTCTGAAGATGAAAACAGCACCAGTTCCCACGCTAAGCTCCCTAACCCAGCCTTGGTTGTGCCTCTGCTGCCCCCTAGCACCAAGTTCACGCTCTTCCAAAGAAACCCAAGTGCAATGGGATGATGGCTCGCTGCAGGTCCATCTCACCCAGCCAACAACCCCACTTACTGATTCCCTATTATGTGGACTGTGTGTCAGGCATGGTCAAAGAGATAGTCAACTGCTGGAAAACAAGTAGCAGAGATGGGGTAATAAAAATAAACTACGGTATAGTGAATCTATATAGCAGAAAAGAGAAACCTAAAATTAAAAGGAAAAGCTGTCTCATGTTGCCTTTGCTAGTGGTAAATTCCTGAGTTTAATCAATATCCAGATATTCTGAATACTGGTGCTAATGGTATATTGCTTTCGTTTTTCATATCGCAGTTATATTTCACTATCAGTGAAATACCATTTCTCCGAATTCTGTTAGGTTTATCTTGTACTACTTTTTCAGAAGTTTCAGTCATGGTTGAACACTGATTTGTTTACATGAGTATCTCCTCTCCTGTGTTGGTGCTGCTGAAAATCCCTGGTCAACTTCGGATGTGAGCGTGATTCTGGGTGAGCGTGAGGCTGGCAAGAAGCCAGCTCCATCATTTCCAAGATTGAGACTGCAGGATTTACTAAACTAGCCCCCTCCTGTGAGTTCAGTTGCTACATTAACATTATCTTTTCGTTTTTCCTGTCTACTTTCTCTCCCCCGCCTCCAAAGCCTTTCATTTGCTGATGACACACAGACCGTGAGGATAAATCCTGGAGTGGCATCCCGTATTCCTAATGGCTGAGCTCTCCTCCTGGGACAGTTCTTTCCACTGTGGCCGACCAAGAGTGCCGGGGAGCAGGCCCACCTTTCTAACTCCCCACATACCTGAGGTGACGACCAGCTGCGCAGTGCTGGCTACTGATCCGTAACTATTCCTTGCCGAGCAGGTAAAGATCCCTGCATCTTCGGGGAAAGTCTCAGCAATGACGAGGGTACAGATCTCCTCTGGAAGGGAAGAAGAGGACAGAATACACGTCATCAGAGCGACACCAAGAAGTCACTCTGCAGACAGACCCCCTGCCTCTCTTAAACAAGCAAATTAGATAATGATCACCGAAGAATTGCTTTACAATGAACTCTCTTTACAATTAATTTAGCAGTTTAGCCTGGAGGCAAAAGCTTCGGGAGTCCGACCCATTCTTTGTGACTTGGGACCAGATCAGCTTTGGTTTCCTCATCTATAAAATGGGGGGAATGTATACCCGATGGGATAGTTGCTAAGATGGAATGAGATCTTTGCAAAGTGTGTGCGTCTGCATGTCACGTGCGAAGTGCTCAGGAGAAGCTCCATTGTCTCCCTGCGCAGTCGGCTGTACGTAGAAGCTCCTACTACAGTGCAGCTGACTCTTCCCTCTGCTCAACCGCAAAGCAATTAATGGGGGAAATCAAGCTTCTCTGACGTGATGACAAAGGAGGGAGAAAAAAGAACATACCGTGTGAATGTCTGACCTGCAGACAACTATTCTGGAAGCTACTGTTATGCAGCATGAAAAGCCCAGACTCTGGGATCCGCTGCCACGGCTGGAATGAGAGTCCTGCCACACATCTTGGCTTTGTGACTTTGGTCAACTTCCTCAACGGCCAATGTTCTTATGTGTAAAATGGAGACAATAATAGAACCTACCTTGTAGGGTTTGCACTAGTCATGACTCCTAATGTGAACCATCCCAGGGTCACTGTGAGGGATGATGACGATGACAGTGATAACAGCTAACAGCTATGTGGCCCTTATTAGGCACTAGGTCCTGTTAGCAACTCTAAATGTAGATGAATTTGGCTTTAATTCCCATGTCAACCTTATGAGTTACGTTTACTATTAGCCCATGTTATAGATTGGAAACTAAAGCACAATTAGGATAATTGATTTGCCCAACGTCACACAGCTAACGAGTGGTAAAATCAGAGTTTGAACCAAGTGAACCTCCAGACTCCACACTCCTAAGAGCTCCATCTATCTGTTCCTGCGATATGACCTGTGCACTGTGCTTACAACACTGCCTGGACATAGAAGATGCTCTGTGGCCAGTAAATGTGAGCTGTTACCATTAAAAAGCTAGACCTAGATTTTATTAACTATTTTTAAATTGAATAATTGTCTATATTGTACCAGCAAAATAAAGATGATTATGTCGGTACATGTCCTCACTTACTATCATCTCTAGGGGGAGACTTGAAGTGAAAAAAAAATAACAAAACCGATTTTATCAGAAGCTAATTGATATAAACAACAGTTAGGTTCCTCTAGCATGTTTCTAGTGACAAGAATATCACCAAACTTCTGAATAAAGACCCAAAACACTTCTAATATTAATATGTGAGCTATACATGCATTTAAGAAAGATAAGAAAGATTAAAAAAACAACTAAGATCATTATTTTCCAATCTGCTTATTCCAATTTGGGGTCATGGGTGGCCAGAGCCTCTCCCAGCAACTCAGGGACCCAGACAGCATCCCACCCTGGACAGGACGCCCTTCATCACATGGACACGCATGCACACACTCACCCAGACTGAGACAATATAGACCTGCCAATTCATGTCCCATGTACATCTTTGGGATGTGGGAGAAAGCCAGAGACCCCGGGAAAAACCCACAAGACAATAACATTGTTATATGAAGTATACTCTACTATTTTGTATTATACTTTAATTTTAAAATAATGGTGGTTACCATCCACTTTCATGGTTCATGATCAGCAGTTAAACAACTGCCCTATAGGACCTAGCATAGTCCCTGGTTCAATAAATATCAGTGAATCTAGGTATTTGGCATATTAAGAAAAGGGTTTTTCCAAAACGTTTGAAAACACTAATTCATAAAGAGATCTGTATCCCTATGTTCACTCTGACACTGTATAGCTGAGATACAGAAACAACTTAAGTGTCCACTGACGAATGGATAAAGAAGATGTGGTACATATATAAAATGGAATACTACTCAGCCATAAGAAACATAAAATACTACCATTTGCAACATCATAAATCTTGAGAATATTATACTAAGTGAAATAAATAAGACAGAAAAAACAAAAACCATATGATTTCACTCATATGTGGAACATAAAACAAAAAGTAACAAGTGAACTAATAAAACAAACAAGAAGAAACAGATACAGAAAACAGAATGGTGGTTACGAGAGAGGAAGAGGAGGGAGGGAGGGAGGGGAGTGGTGGGAAGGGGGATGGGATTGGTTAAGGGGGTCAAACATATGGTAACAGAAGGAATCTAGACTTTGGGTGTTGAGCCTGCAATAGATATACAGATTTTGAGTTAAAATACTGTACCCCTGAAATTTTTATAATGTTATTAACCAATGTTACCTTAATACATTTAATTTTTAACAGAGAAAGAAAAGGGTTTTCAGGTGAAGGTTTGACAGGTACTGATACATTTAAAATACACAATTTTTATTTGATTTAAAGGTCACTAAATAGAAGGAAAACAATAGAATGAGGTAACCTTGTGTGTGTGCGTGTTTTTGTTTGTTTGTGTACTGTACACAGTTCTTGGTTTTCCAATTAAAGAAAAAGATAAAAAGTGTGAAAATAGCCCTGGCCAGTTTGGCTCAGCGGCTAGAGCATTGGCCTGTGGCCTGGAGAGACCCGGGTTCAGTTCCCGCTAAGGGCATGTACCTCGGTTGCAGTTTGTCCCAGGCCCTGGTTGGGTCGTGCAGGTGGCAGCCACTCGATGTGTCCCTTTCATGTCGATGTTTCTCTTTCTCGCTCTCTATTCCTCTCTCTCCCTCCCACTCTATCTGAACAAAGAGCAAAAAAAAAAAAAATGTCCTCGGGTGAGGATTAAAAAAAAAAGTGTGGAGATAATTCAAGTTGGAGTTTAACATAAGATTCAGCATTTGGAAAGTGAGATGAATCTGAAAAGTTACAAGGGAGTGGGAATTTTTAAGTGGAATATGCAGGGTTACAGAATGAGTTAAAAGTGCATTAGCCAGAGAAGGGTACATAAAACGTAGACCAGTGCTGTAAGGGATTTGAGAGACTGACTAGCCCAAATCCCTCATTTCTACAGGGGAGGGCCAACGGACCCTTGCAAGGTCTTGGCTAATTAACCTCAAAGCCAAAATGCTGAACCCGGCACCCTGCTCCCACAGTACGCTCTGTTTCCTAGTCTAGAACACAAGAAAGCCAGTGTCAAATGAGGTGACGAAAGATTTAGGGTGGAAAACAAGGAATTTCCTGAATCTGAACATTTTATCCTCACTATCCACCAAGTTCAGTAGAAATGCATCTGTGCAAGGAGGTGACGGGCTGTGTGTCGTCTAAGATATTAGACACGTCGGGATAGGATATAGGGCGTGATGATATCAGAAGAAATGAACAGCCCAATGTTATTAGATTTGGGGGTGGAACCCTCCCCTACTCCCCGGTCTCTGAAGATGGGCCTCAGGCAGATGTGGGTCACCTTGGTTTCCTCTTAGCAGATGCTGCCAGGAGCCAGGAAGCCTTCCCAGCTCTCAGCAGCCACAGCCTCCAGCCCACACCACCCGCCTGCCCAGGGCTTGGTGCCCTCAGGGAAGGTCTTTCCTCAACTATTTACATCTCAAAAGGCAGAGTTTCTAGAGACTTGTAGCAAAATGTCCACTGCCATTTCAGTGCCTGGAAATGCTTTAATTGTGAAGACAGACAGATTTCTGCATCTGGAAACCTGCGTTTAAACACAAGATGAAATCCTCAGGGATAATATAAAGCGGGTTTGGAGTGATGATCTTGACAGCTCCTTACGTTTTCTACGATTTCGCAATTTTTTTTTTAAGTTACGCTGTTTTAAGAAAACCTAAGATTGTATATATAATTCCCCTTCTCATCCGGAGGACCCCGTTGAGATTGAAATTTTATCATTGTCTCCATTTGTCTGGGACTTTGAAGATACATTAAAAACCCTTAATGCAGCCATAAAGCGCTCAGTGAGCAGGCCTGTTACCTGCTAGGTTCCATCTGTGCCTCTCGCCTTGTGTTGTTCTGAGCTCTGGCCACCCCCCCACGAAGCCTCCTCCCAAAGTACCTAGGGCTCACCTCCTCAGCCTCACCTTTCCACCTAACCACTACTTTCTCCGAGATTCCTTTTTTGGTTAGACCTGGCCAGATCCACCCAAGGTGGCCAAGCGTCCTTGGAGACATCTATCACAGAACCACGAAGTCATTTACTGTGGAATGGTTGACTCCTTGACTAGACAGCCTCTGTGAGAGCAGGAAGCATCTGTTTTGTTCCTGGCTGTCCCCTCTGCGTCTCTGGGACAGCAGGCTCTCCGTAAATGTTTTTGAATAATGTATGGATGAAGTTTAGATTGAGGGAGGAAACAAATCGGAGTAAACACTTGCTTTACAAGAATGTGTTTTCGAAAGAAATCCTCAACTGATTTTCCTGAAAGCTTCGTGATTCAGGTGTGACTGAACAAAATTCACTTCGCACGCGTTTTGCATGAAATAAGGTACATGCAAGTGTGGCGTTAATGACCAACTGAATAGCTAGAGAAGGCTCCCAGCTTACAGGACAAAATAAGAAAAAGTAAAAGAGCTTTGGGACGCTCTTTTTGTGATCTTCACGCATTGTTATGTCTCAGTGATTTTTTTTTTTTAATCCTCACCCAAGGACATTTTTGCATTCATCTTCAGATAGAGAGAGAAGGAGAGAGGGAGGAAGAGAGAGAAACATCGAAACATTGAGGTGAGAGAGACACATCAACAGGCTGCCACCCACATGACCCCAACAGGGGCTGAGGACAAACTGCATCCGAGGTATGTGTCCTTAACAGGAACCGAACCCGGGTCTCTCTGGACCGTAGGCCGATGCTCTAACCGTTGGGCCAAACCAGCCAGAGCTATCTTAGTGATTTTTACCAGGTAACATTTTAATCCAACTTCTCAAAGCTTGTTTAGCTTTTCTTCTCTTGGAAAATGTCTTCAAAACGTGACAATAGGCTCACATT